GCTGGTCACATCCCACCCGTGGGGTGCGAGTGAAGGTGGGATCCCATCAATGCATGGTCTTTCTTCTCCAGGTCTTCGTGGTGCAGCAATGGGTGGTGCGCTGGATGTGGTGGGAAGGGGTGGCACAGAGGAGAAGTCCCTTGGGCAGGTTGGCAGCAGGGGAGGAGAAGGGCACGATGGTGTTTCCTCAGCCCAGAGGTCCATATGGACCTTCTCTGTCTGGTAACCCTCAGTAGATCTCTTTCCCGTGGCCTTATCCTGTGTCCTTATGCCCTGTGAGCTGCATCGATGTGGGATTGTAGCCTGGGGTTACCGCCGCCACCACCCTCTGGTACCACTGGTGCTGCTGAGCAGGCTAGACTTGGGCATCAGAGCCTCAAACTTTCACAGGAACTTTGGTAAAGGCACTGCTCTGACTGGGCTTGGGATTTTCATTCCTACAGCTGACGGGATGGCGGATGGGGAAGAAAGTGGTCTGGAGGAACTAGAAGAATGTGAGCTGTGTTGGTACCCATCTGAGGTAGACATCCTCCAAGAGCCAAACCCAACGCCACAGCACGAGTGTGAGAGTCAACCGCAACAAGCCTCTGAAGAACCGAGCAATGACTTCCGTGGACGCCCATCACCGAGAAGGAGTGGACGGCTGCAAGCCTGCCATGGGAGCCGTGCAACAAAGAGGACCTACAGCTGCAGCAAGAGTGGGAAGAACATTGCCGGGAAGGCAGAAGTGGCCATGCACAAGGCCCTCTACAGCTGTCCCGACTGCGGGAAGATCTTCAGTCGGAGGTCCTTTCTCATCCCCCACCAGCGCATCCACACCGGTGAAAAGCCCTTCACCTGCCACGAGTGCGGGAAGGGTTTCCGAGTTGGGTCAGCTCTCAACAAGCATCAGCGGATCCATACGGGTGAGAAACCTTACAGGTGCACAGAATGCGGGAAGTGCTTCCGTCTCACCTCCACCCTCAGCACCCATCGGAAGATCCACACCAGGGAGAAACCCTATGTCTGCCTCGTTTGCGGGAAGACCTTTCGGTTGAGCGCGTATCTCCTGGCCCACGAAGCCACCCATAGCGTGGACAACCCTTTTCGGTGTCTTGCGTGTGGGAAGAACTTCAGCTTGAGACGGTACCTGGCCATTCATCAGCGGATCCATACGGGAGAGAAGCCGTTCAAGTGCTCGGTGTGCGGGAAGGCCTTCAACCGGAGATCGACCCTTATTGTTCACCAGCGGGTCCACACTGGGGAGAAACCCTACAAGTGCCCTGAATGCGGGAAGAGCTTCATCATGAGTTCAGACCTCGTTGCCCATCGGAGAATCCACACCGGGGAGAAACCCTACAACTGTCTCAACTGTGATAAAAGCTTTCGATTGAGCTCCCACCTTACGAGACACCAGCGAAGCCACACTGGGGAGAGACCGTACAAATGTATGGATTGCGGGCAAAGCTACACAGACAGTTCTGGACTCATCAAACACAAGAAGATCCACATGGAAAAGAAGCAGAGGGCATCTCAGGGAGCCCACTCAGGGGAGGGACGTTATAAATGCCCCTACTGTACTAAGAGCTTCCATGGAAAGTCAGCTCTGGTCCTTCACCGGTCTACCCACGTCGGAGAGCGACCCTATAGATGTTCCAAGTGTGAGAAGACCTTCAGCCACAGCGCGACTCTACTGAAACACCAACGAATCCATACTGGGGAGAGACCCTTCAAGTGTCCCGACTGTGAGAAGTGCTACAACGATGGCTCAACCCTTCGGAGACACCGGAAGAGCCACACCGAGGAGAAGCCCTTTAAGTGTCCCAGTTGTGGGGAATGTTTTGGTGCCATTGCAGCTCTCCTGAAGCATCAGCGGTTCCACACCGAGGGGAGACCTTACAGATGCTCCGACTGCGGGAAAAATTTCCACTCTAATTTTCTCCTTGTCACCCACCAACGAATCCACACGGGAGAAAAACCCTATACCTGTCCCATCTGCAAAAAAACCTTCCGCCAAGCCTCCCACCGTACGAGGCACCAGGAGATTCACAGGAGGACCAGGGCTGGCGTTGCTTTGCGTGATGTGTCCGAGCACCACGTGCAGAAAAGAAAGACTCGGCACAGAGTGGGAGCAGAGGTGGGATGTGATGATCAATCATCAAGTCCAGATGGTGCTTCCACAGCTCAACAATAAAAGAATTTGAGATGCCCTGAGTCCATCAACTGGTCCAAGTTGCTCATCCAAAGGAGATCTGCCCCATGTCCTACCTGTCCAGCCCATGGTTGTGTAAGTCTGTGCACACCCAGATAGCAATCTGAGCCCAGTGTTAGTGAATTACTGGTGACACAGGGTTCCTGTGTCACTTTTTGTAGCGTGACCCTTATTCTTCTCACCCTGTTGACATCGAGTGCCTTTGGGCTAAGGGTCTGATGGCTCTTGCTTCTAAATTTAATCTTATTCCCTCACCTCCAAGTCCGTCTCCTCCCTGACTCGTCACAACCAACTCTCCAACCATCCTCCTCAGCTCAACCTCAACTTCATCCCCTGTCATTACTGAAGCAGATCCCTACGTGATTTAGAAAAAAAATAATAGAACCGTAGAATTATAGGATCATGGGATTGTTTTGGTTGGAAAAGAACTTTCAGATCATGAAGTCCAAGCCAACAGTGCCAAGTCCGACCACTAAACCATGTCCCTAAGCACCACATCTCCACGTCTTTTAAATCTCTCCAGGGATGGTGACTCAACCCCTTCCCTGGGCAGCCTGTTCCAGTGCTTTACAACCCTTTTGGTAAAGAAATTTTTCCTAATATCCGATCTAAATCATACTCAACAACTACTTCTGGATCCCAAATGTTCCTTAAAATGAGTAGTGTATTTGCAAATACATCCAGACTGGACCCACCTTCTCGTTTACTCTTGATGAGGGACAGCTCGCCTGGCTTCATAGCCACGTCCTACCTCAGCTCAACTTATGCCCATGCAGGGACCCCTCCTTTTTGGGGACTGGCATGGGCATGCTTGATGGTATTGATGCCAAAGTCCTGGCCAATAACCCAGACGCAATGACTACCTCGCTGCGAAATCTTCATATTCCCTAACAATCGTCGCTACTTAAGCTGGGGATGGGACGACGGTTGACCCCAAACGCTGTCCCTTAATGAGAACATCCAATTTACGGTGACCACATTGTTACTAAAGGCCTTAGGGGTAACCCAAGGGAGTGTTTCCTTGGCTTTGAGTTGCCTTCAGACCCAACTGCCAGTCCAAGCTCCAAGAGAAAGTGACACCAGAAGCCTACCTGCTGTCGGTCCAAGCTGAAACCGCTAGAGAAGGTGACACCAGAAGTCTGCTTGCTGAAATTCATGAAATCGCATGGGATGATGATGCCGAATGTCACCTACCTACAAGCCTGGTGGCACTTGGGAAACTTTGCTCATGATGGAAATACGGACGTAGCTTGACTATGTGAGATGCTGCTTCTGAACGACCCTACCCCATCGCATCTTTGGGTCAACACCAAGGCAGGTCCCATGGTCCATCTACATGGACAACAGCCTTGGCAAGGAACGAAAGGCTGGCCAACAGCAGATGCTGAAGATTGCATCCCAGAGCAAGGAACGGGGTCCGTGGGTGAAGGAAATTCCTTCTGAACCCCTAATCTGTGCCTTAATTCCCTGGGGGGGGGCATTTCCCATCACACCCCCAGGAACCCACCGAGATGATGCCCATCTACAGCAGGAACGGCCATTTATGTTTACAACCGTTGTGTTGTTCTCTATACGTTGACTCTTTATAGCCGCACTACAAGTATTAATCTACCTATTTGTATTTTTACTACCCAGTCTGGATGCGATTTTAACTATACCGCCCCAAATTACCACTTACCAAGAACTATGGACTAACCGTACCCTCTACCACCACACCATCCCTCCCCCTCTCCGTACAAATTTATCTCTTAATTGAACATTTTTCAGCATAAAGTCTTACGTCAGCTACGGAAACAGGCAAAGGAGCAGGCACAGTAAACTTTAATACCATTTAAATTTTAATACAACTTAAAAAGTAATAGCTGCCATCCCGATAGCAGAAAAATCAAGACAAATTCCAGAATATGTTAAAAAAAAAAAATAGTCAACCATCAGTGGTGGGAATCACTTTTAGGATGGTCTCCCACCGTAGTGGTTGGTTATTAGTCCAGAGGATGCTTGCACAGCTCAGTGCTAAAAGACGACGGTCTGATCAGGGAATTTGAAATACTCCGAGCCCCTTAATTATTATCATATAAAAAAAAAAATTAATTTTAGCCCAGTGTTAGCGAATTATCGGATTTACTGTTGTTTCATGCAGGAAATTGTACTGCTGGTTGTGCACTTACTCTGAAATAAACGGTTGATTCCTGAAGCTGTTGGTCAGGTGTCTTCCTAGAGGGATTTTTTTAATTGCTGCAGGTCATTAAGGAGTAATTTTAGGGGCGCAGGGACAGGGAAGGGGGATGAGGA